TCAGATTTAGTTTGTATTTGTTTATTTTTGTTCATGACTGATATGTTTTATTGTTTGTTTATTAATATAAATTCTGTAATTAAATGTATTTCATGAATTTCAATTAACCCCATAGTGGGGGGATCTATTCCATGCACCTATAATACAAAGAGAAGTTGAATTTGTGTATTGTTACACCCTAAGAGGCCAAGGTCGTAACAATTTGGCGACCTTGCCAGGATAGGTCCCTTTATCACTCCTAAACTATTGGGAATATTTAGATATAAACATTCTTTATTGATTAATCATGGCTACTTTGGATGTTGAGGAGTTTGTTGAGAATCCATCCGCGAAAATGTTGAAAGACTGTGCTCGTTGCACACCAGACACTATCCAGCTTTAACCACAGCTGCACTTCCCCCGCTGTTCGATTCCAACTCTGCTTGTGTACTTATCTGAGGTTCCTGGGGCTCATGGGCGGATTCCCCAGTCCTTCACTATTCGGCTGTCAACTCTGGTCACCTACTCCAGCTACTGCCGTGGCTGCCACGTGATCGCCACTTCCTCCACGCCCTATCCACCGTTCGTGCCCTGGTGTCTCTCCTGTGTGGCAAGACATTGCCCACCAACGCCGGCACCACTTGAGGAAGCTGCCCTGGACCTTCCCCCTGAGAGCGGATCACCGCGTTACCAGAACATTCCACCGTGCTAGTTAGGAGAAAGATTTATCTACAACCGTAGGAAATACATGTACTTTGTTGTATTGTTTTGTTTCAAATAATTGTTTGACTCCAGTGCCGTTTAATTAATATTTGTGTGAGTGGTGTAAGAGTTAAATTATTGTGATTATTTTTGTAGTAAAGAGATGTCAATCTCTAACGGTTGTTTGTTACCCCTTGGAAACACATGGTTCTTGACTTTCCTTTTTATAAGATCCTCATTAGGCTGGCAAAGAAATTTATATCCTACAGGCCAGGCATTTACAAGTGGCTGTCATGCCAGGATAATCTCTAACCTTAGTTTCTGAGGGTTAATATTCGTTACCGGTGTTTCTTGTAAGTCGCCGCTTGCTGTCTGAGTCCCAGAAGTAAGCGTTTTGGTGCTTATCCCTTCCTTCTGTTGCTCTCCCTCGTACTAGGGAAGTCAATTAGTGTTGGTTGGGGTGCACTGAGGATGTTGCCATAGCATTTTGTTGTTGATTCACCTGGTGCGGTTTTTCTTCCTGAGGTGATTTAACTGGACTGGGTGCGAAACAAGGTTTCCTCCAGCCGGATCAAATCATTTAATGGTTTGAGCCACTAAGTAGTTACATTTGGCTAGTTGCGGGTAAGTTGTTTAATTTGTCACTTTGGCTCTTGGCCTTTTGTATCATTATGTCTAGTTTTGAGAAGTTGAAAGGTCAAGCGGCGGCTCTGGTTCTGACAGGTGCGGAGGTTGGTCGGTTTGTTATCACCCAACAGACTGCCGAGAGAGAGGAGCGCAACAAAGAGAAAGGAACGCGAGAGAGAGAGAGAGAGAGAGAGGAGCGCAACAAAGAGAAAGGAACGCGAGAGAGAGAGAGAGAGAGAGAGGAGCGCAACAGAGAGTTCAAATTAGCTAAATTACTGGCAGAAAAGAACTTAGAACTAGCTAGGATTAATGCTCAAAGTAGACCAGAATCCTTTGGCCCTATACAAGATAATGTTGTAAAACCTAGTTTGCCTGTTTATCGTGAAGAATACATCGACTCCTACCTGGTTAGGTTTGAACGGGTAGCTGAGCTGCTGGGTGTGGACAAAGATAGCTATGCTGTAAGATTAGGTAGCCTACTGAGTGGGAAACCGGTACAGATTTATACGTCCTTGTCTGCCGACATCATTAGAGATTACTCTTTGTTGAAGCAAGTTCTCTTGCGAGGTTTTAACAAGACTTCTGATGGTTATCGTGTTGATTTTTGCAGAGCAAAGATTAGGGAAGGGGAAACTTACCAGCAATTTTCAATCCACCTGGGTCATTTGTTTCAACAATGGCTAGAGGCGTCAGAGGTTGATGAAACCTTTGCGTCTCAGTAAATTTATGATATTGGATCAGTTTGTCTTCTCTACAGCCAGACCTGAGAATATTCATCAAGGAATGCAGGCCAGCGACGCTAGGAGAAGCTGTACCACTTGCTGACAACTGGGCGTCCGCTCGCAACGCCTAACCCAAGTCTCCCACCCCTCCAGTAAAGAACACGTAGCCTCCGTCCTCCGAGGAACCATTCCCAGGAGTAGAGAGGAGTAATTCACCGGCCGTGCTGTGCCACAACTGCGGAGGAGGACACATTCGTTCTCGTTTTCCCAGGAATCCCCGTGCCTTCAAATCTACCGACATTCATCAGCCCAGCTACGAGGTCGGATTCTGTTTGGAAGACAGGAGCTGTCCCCGTTATTGCGTCAGTGGAACGATAAATGGGTCTTGGGCATCGACTATCATTAGGGACACCGGTTGCTTGTGTATTATTGTCTCTGAAGAAGCCCTGCCTGACGCTGACGTCTCCAGGTGCTCGAAGGTTAGTGTCGCCGATTATTTAGGCCATGTTGACCAATTCCCTGTTAGGTGCTGCCTGCATTGCCCCTATTTCATTGGTTGGTCTGATGTGGTAAGAGCGCCTATTAAATTCGCTAATGTTCTCATTGGTAATGTTCCCGGAGTTCGTGACCCTAACGACCCGGATCCCTTAAAACTCTCCTCGCCACCTGCCGACGTCGCCTCGCCACCTGCCGCCGTCGCCTCGCCACCTGCCGCCGTCGCCTCGCCACCCACACACGCCACATCACTTCTAGCAAAGGCCCAAGCTGTGGAGACACGGTCGTGTACCACTCTGACGCGGGTGAGGAAGAAGACGACTTCCGGAAAGGAGGACCAGGCTAGAGATGGGTCTGTTTACAAGTTTGTTTGTATTGATAGTCTATTACATAGGGGTTGTGTGTCATCCAAGCAGCCAGCCAAAGTAGGTAAAATTTTACTGGTTGTCCCTGCTGATTATCGTAGCAACATTCTCTCTGTAGCTTACGAAAGCACCCTAGCAGGCCACTGTTCTCGTAGGAAGACTTGTATGAAGGTTGCTGATCAATTACATTGGCCAGTTATGGTAGCGGATATTAGAGGCTTTTGTAGGAGTTGTGATCGGTGTCAGCGCATGTACGCCAAGGGTAGTGTCCGTCCTGTTCCTCTTAAACCTTTACCCATCATGACAGAGCCATTTTCTCGGATCACACTACATTTTTTGGACCGCTCTCACCCCCTTCCTCTAAGAAGCCTAAATTATATCAAGCTAATTTGTTAAAGAAATATCCTAGCAGGGCCCACATTAACTATGCTCTTGTTCTTGACGACGTGCCCAAGCTGGAGTCCGTCGAGGCACTACCCTGCAAGAGTTCGTGCGAAGTTCAGGCGCCAGACTCGGATGATCTCGGTTGTCAGTTACCGATAACACCAGATGGTATAGAAGAATCCTCTACGAATGGCAATGGACCCAAACGTAGACCTTGACTGAAGTGGATCCCACTTGCAGTTCCCTGATACGGCCTTACGATATTTGAATATCATGTTACCACCTTTTTTTAATGTGACCACTCTCTAATTTTTATTTTGATCCGTATAGCTAACCATTTGTTGCAGGATTATACTTTGTTGTACTAATCTTAAGCTTTAATCTACCTTACAGTAGAGTTTTGTTGGGGGAGCTGTGCCAGGGCTGTAACGAGCAGGATGGTTGTCCGCCGCTCGTTTGCTTGTTCGCGGCCCCACTAGGGGTGAGAAGGTCGCTGCTGCCTCGTCGCACACCAGTTAGATCCAGCCTTGACCACAGCTGCACTTCCCCTGCTGTTCGATTCCAACTCTGCTTGTGTACTCGTCTGAGGTTCCTGGGGCTCGTGGGCTGATTCTCCAGTCCTTTACTATTCTGCTGTCAACTCTGGTCACCTACTCCAGCTACTACCACGGCTGCCACGTGATCGCCACTTCCTCCACGCCCACCAATGCCGGCTCCAAGTGAGGAAGCTGCCCTGGACCTTCCCCCTGAGAGCGGATCACAGCGTTACCAGAACATTCCACCGTGCTGGTTAGGAGAAAGATTCATCTACAGCCGTAGGAAATACCTGTACTTTGTTGTATTGATTGTTTTATTTCGAGGAATTGTTTGACTCCAGTGCTGTTTATTTAATATTTGTGTGAGTGGTGTCAGAGTTAAATTATTGCGATTATTTTCGTCGTAAAGCGATGGCAATCTCTAACGGTTGTTTATTACCCCTTGGAAACTTATGGTTCTTGACTTTCCTTTTCATAAGAACTTGATTAGGCTGGCAAGGGATTTATATCCTACAGGCCAGGCCTTTGCAGTCAGTGAATGAGACGGCTGGTAGGTTTACTGATTGTGTCAATATGTGCTTATACATATGTGTGTGTGTGTGCATAAATTCATATATAAGTTAAAATCTTCCTGTAAAATATTATTAGTTTATAAATATTAATATTGTAAACTCCTTGGAACAACCTGCCAGAGTGTGGTGTGACGGCACCGAGTGCAAGCTCTTTCAAGACCAGACTTGACCAACACTGGAACAGGTTCAGATACATTCAGGAGCCAGTGCATGCTTAGTACTTGCCAACAGTGCGTAACCAAGACGTAACCTACAAACCAAGTGGCTAGCGAGCCGATCAGTGGAAAAGAGGGTAAAAGCAAAAGAAGTAAAAGTATGCTCAGTACTTCCTAAGCTTGCCAAAACAATTGTTGCTTAGAATAGAAAATAATCGAAACACCTACAGTAATTTACAGTACAAACATTATAATACCAAATTTACCGGCATAACACTACCCCCCTCCCCCCTAATCCTTGTGTCGCCCCGACACACTTATTCACTATATACATGATAATCCTGAAACTTGGTAGGTCTCCTCTTCTTCTGCTGCTGCCGCCAACGTACTGTGATATCTTTAAAGATCTCCCTTGTTGCAGCAACCTCGGCCACATCCTGCGATTGGTGCTCCTCTTCCTGGTTCATGGTCGGGTTCTCCGGATTGGTACAGCCCTGAGTTCTTCGGTGGTAGGTGACAGCTCCTCAGAGTCTTCCCAGGTGTACTGCCCTGGCCCATGATACTGCCACAGACGATTGACGTGAACTACCTTCGGTTGAGCCTTCCTTCCTTCCTGTTCCGGTAGGTCATATTTGAAAGGCGCCCCAGTACCGTGTATGGTCCTTCCAATGGACTCTGCCACTTCGGTGAATGACTCTCCTTCCTCTGAGGGTTATACAGCCAGACCTTATCACCGTCCATGTAACAGACATGGCTTGCTTTTACATCATGGTTTCGCTTCATCACTTCACCCGAGAACTCCAGAGCTCCTCTAACTTGATGGTGGACTTCCGTCAACCTTTCTTGGAGGCTTTTGACGTAGCGGGTGGTTTCTTTGGGAAGTTCTTCATCAGGTGGTCTTACTGTCAGCAGGTCCACTGGAAGCTGCAGTTTGTGACCCAACATCAGTTTTGCCGGTGTCTATGCAGCTGACTCGATATGCTATCAGCAGAGTAGGCAGCTTCTGGTCCCATTCTGTATGCCCCTCAACACAGTACTTGGCCAGTTCTCGTCCTAAAGTCCAATTAAATTTGTTACCATTCCATCTGACTGCGGCCGAAGTGGAGTGGTCCTAGTCTTCCTTTTTGCCCAACAGTTAACAGCACTTGCTGAACACAGCTGACTCAGAATTTTTGCCCTGGTCCGAGTGCAACTCCTGGGGTACACCAAACCGACAGAAGAACTGGTCCACCAGCACCCTGGCAATCGTGGCTTCCAGATTTGGGATGACATAAGCTTCTGGCCACTTAGTGAAGTAATCCATGGCCCCGAAGATGTACCTAATCCCATCTGCAGTGAATGGCAGAGGTCCTGCAATATACACTGCGACCCTCTGCATTGGTGCACCTGCATGGTATAACTGCAGTGGGGCACACGTGTGTAGCTTTGGTCCCTTCTTGGCGCAGCAGGCATCACATGAACGGCACCTTTGCCGAAGGCGACTCAGGGTCTTCTCCAGTCACAGATGTCCACTGGATGGATTCTTGTGCATCTCTTTCAGGATCTCTGATCTCATCTTCCGGAGAAGCACTGTCTACCAGTACTTGTTGAGGCCATCGGTAGTCACCCACTGGCGCTGCAGCAGACCATCCTTCAGCCGAAGAGCATCCCACTGCGCCCAGTAGCTTTTAGACGTAGGACTTGCTCCAGAGATCGTCTCCCACGCTGGCTGCACTGAGCTCTGGTTCATCCACTCGACCACTGGTCGCAGGCAGGGCCGGATTTACCAGTAGGCCATTGGCCCTGGGTCCACCGGTATCTGGGGGCCCACTGAAACTAATTTGTCGTGCAGCGTGCCAGCGAATAACCTTGTTTCAAGTGTACACCGAGTATTTCATTATATAATATATTCACAACCAAAAGGGCCCCTGTACAATAAGTATAGGGCCCGGAGTATGGGGCATCTGTACAATAAGTATAGGCCCGCAGTGGTCTTCAACTGGTGGGCCATGGGGTGGTTCTCAGGTGGGCCACGGGCTGTATTCCTAGTCATTACGACGATAATGGCGATCACAGTCATCATCACGATGCATTGTGTATCGGGATGCAACCACCCGACGCTCAGCGCCATATTGTTAGTCGCTTACATAAGCCTTTAACTAGGAATATAGCGTGTCTAAACACTACGCTTCGTTTCGTATGGCCGCACAAACGTTTTCCATGTGCGTGTGCCAAATGCATTATTTCACATAATTAGAAAGACGGTTTAGAGAGATATTTACTTATTTTATACCGGCACAATAATATTTATTGTAAAATATCTTTTTTTATCAAGTTGAACTTTAGTATCTGTTCTAAACAAATTACAGATTTTTTTTTCATCTGTGTACTTGGCAAAAATGTTTGCTCGTTTGTTATCAAACATGGAGAGGAGAGAACGTTCTGCAGCCCTGTCAGTAACCCTGCACATAGCAATTTTGCGCCATATCGAGCAAAGGCCAGTCGTTGAGGACAGCTGTACTAGTACTGTAACACAATAAATGATAGCAAAAGAAAGGCCTGGGATGAAATTACTGCCTCATTAAACGCCAGCAACCCAGATGAACTCCCTCCCACAGCCAAGGAGTAAGTATATGCTTAATTCGAAGTTTAGTACTTAAAAAATCAAGTTTTTTGCCGTTAGGTTACTAAATTGAGTAGGATTACAGTATTTAAGTGACGGGTCATGTGAGGAGTCCCACCCCCTACCGAAGTAGACAGAAGGAAAGCTCCCATCTCATCTCCCAATTTTCCCTTCCTTCATATAATTTTATGATCTCGTTGAGTTATATATCAGAATAAATGTTTTTTACGTCTACTTTCATAAATTATATTTGCTATTCGATACGGGTGTCTGAGTAAGATTAACCATATAGTTTAATATGTGAAAGTGCAGCTATTGATTTATTTTTACTCCTCAGAGTGCTAGGTTAAAATTGTGTACGATATCTGAAAAATTATGAATTCATAATGAAAGAACTGGTATGCAGGGTAGGTCCCCTTGTTTGAAATCTTTAATTGCCAGTGAATAACTTGAACAAAGCATGGAACACTAAAAATTAATGCTTTATTTTCATGTTTTATTTCTAGTAGGCTAATAATTATATACCAAAAATGACAATTAATACAATTTTTTTAATACTACAAATCGGTAAATAAAAAACATTGATAAAAAATTATGGTTAAGTGTAAAAAAATATTGTGGATCAGTCATATTTAATATTTGGTTAGGTAGGTTCAGTTAAGGTGAGGTTAGGTTAAGTTAAAGTTAGGTTAGGTGAGGTTAAGTTAGATTAAGTTACAATTAGGTTTGATTAACTTAAATTTAGTTAAAGTTAGGTTAGGTTAAAACAAAGTTAGGTTTAGTTAAAAATAGTTTAGGTTAAAATAAGTTAGGTTAAGTTAAAAATAGGTTAGGTTAAGCTAAAGTTAAGCTAAGTTAAGTTAGGTAAGGATAGGTTATTTTAAGTTAAAGTTAGGTTATTTCCATGTTTTGTGCCAGTTATTCTCTGACATTGGGGGGCAATTATCCTAGAACCAAGCTATACAGCATATAACTCTATATGAAACAGATATTATTCTGCAGATTTGGTGTACTTTCCATTAGTTGCCTGGCAATACACACTTGGTAAGCCAAATTATTCTGGCAAGATAAATTCAAACAGGTCTATGCTCAGTTTCTGAAGGTTCACCTACAAAAACTTGTCAGAAGCATGAGCTTAGTTATATATCAAAATAAATGTTTTTATGTCTACTTTTATAAATTATATATGCCTATATTCTATTCGATGCGGGTGTCTGAGTAGGATTGACCATAGAGTTTATATGTGCAAGTGTTAGCCATTGGTTTATTTTTACTCCTAAGCGTGCTAGGTTAAAATTGTGTATGATATCTGAAACAAAAATTAAATTCATAATGAAGGAACTGGTATGGAGGATACATCATTAAAACGGTGCTTCAGCCATACTGTGTTAGGTTCTCTTGTTTGAAATCTTTAATTGCCAGTGAATAAATTGAAGAAAACATGGAACACTAAGAATTAATACTTTATTGACATGTTTTATTTTTAGTAATAATTTTATACAAAAGATGACAACTACAAAATTTTTTTTAACACTACAAATCAGTAAATGCAAAACATTGATAAAAAGTTATGGATAAGTGAAAGAAATTAGTGGAACAGTCATGTTTAATATTTGGTTAGGTAGGTTAAATTAACGTAAGGTTATGTTAAATTAAAGTTAGGTTAGATGAGGTTAAGTTAGATTATGCTACAATTAGGTTAGATTAACTTAAGTCTAGTTAAAGTTAGGTTAGGTTAAAAATAAAGTTAGGTTAAGTAAAAAATAAGTTAGGTTAGGTTACAGTTAAGCTGGGTAAGGTTAGGTCATTTTAAATTAAAGTTAGGTTATTTCCATGTTTTGTTCCATTTATTCACTGACAATGGGTGGCCATTGTCATAGAACGAAGCTATACAGCATATAACTATATATGAAACAGGTATTATTCTGCAGATTTGGTTTGCTTTACATTAGGTGCCTGGAAATATTTTACGACCATGACATGCTTCAAGAAAAATTGGCAAGTATGGGGCTGGTGTCCCCACATAATTAGCAAGCCAAAATATTCCGGCAGGATAAGCTTCAAACAGGTATAGGCTCAGTTTCTGAAGTGTCACCTCAAATGACTTGTCAGAAGCATACGAGTCATCATTACTAACATCATAATAATTTTTATAGCAGATATGACTGTAGCCGAGTAGATATGTGTTAGCCTGTTTTAGGGGCCCACTTAAATTTTTTTTCTATGTTTGTTTTAGATATACTGATGTAAGTGAACATCAGCATCGTAAAGTATAAACATGTTTTCTTTCTCAATTTTTAATGGTCAATTTACATTTTTTAAACATATATACAGCTCCTACTAGACTAACGACCTTCTCTTCTACTACAACCCTCACTTACGACCTGCCTCAGTCATACCGATATTTGATCAAATTACATATTTTCGAGTCACAACGTCAGTACACAGACAAAATTTTCTTTATATAATTCACTTTAAAATGGTTGGCTAGCTTAAAAGTGAGGTTGTTGTGGTGCTGAGAATAGAAAGAGAAACACATAAAAGATTTTCTATGTATTATTTATGCATTTTCGACTTAAAACCACTTTGCCCATAGACATTGGTAATGAAAGCATGATAAAAGCCTATGCTGTTGCTATAATTATTTATGTTTGTGCTGTATACAGTATTTATTTTGTTATGTTTCCTCCAGAACTAAAAGCCGAGATGTACAGCAAAGAAAAATTCTAGCAAAGACAGGTGGTGGTCCACCACTCAAAATATCGGTAGCTTCAGAAGAAATGGTCTTGGCATCATCACTGATGGGGGCAGAATTGTCAATGGCTGATGACATTTACGAGACCTTCAATAAACCAGTACATGAAGCAAATAATACCTTAGAAAATGTGCAGCTAGGTGAGAATATTACAGAAAAGTGATTGATTTATACAGTTGCGTGCATTCATAACTCCCATTGCTCAATCTCCTTTTGCTATCTAAAAATCAAACGGGAACTGTGGCTGACAGCTAAATATTTTATGTTATTTTTCTTAGGTCAGTTTTACCTTTACCTTATACACGTGTACTGACACAGTGTACTGTTTCAGTATGTGCCGAGGTGCTCGAGCAACCCAGAGTTCGTGGCATGCGGAAGACTTCTGCAAGTGTGCCTTCTGCTTCACTTACTCAGTCCTATGATCCACTTGTTTTACCTGGTCCAACCCCAGGGCCATCAACTGTATCTTCTGCACAATTTACTACAGTTTCATCTACTGTTTATCGACCTCTAATTTCACCCTCTGTTCCTATCTCACAAGTCAATGTTCCTGCCTCACCAGTCATTGCTCTTGCCTCACCAATCATTGCTCCTGCCTCGCCAGTCAATGCCCCTGACTCACTATCGAGTGATCCTGCCTCACCCCCTCCTGCTCATGCTTCCAACCAACACCTTTATTCAGCGTCTAGGGTATCTGGTTCTCGGCCAAGGAGCACACCAAGGCGAACTAGGAGGGTGACAAGTGTGTATGAAATGTGTGATAAAAGACAAGAAGAGTTACATAAATATATTTTATACAGATTGAAAAGGGAGCATGAGGAGGAAATGAAACTGAAAAAAAGAAATGATGTCAACACAAAAACTACAAAAAAAAATTAAGTGAAACTGCAATTGCATCGACTGAAAAGACACATGAAAAATTGAATAATTCTTTGGAATTGTTAGATAAGGTTTTAAGGAAAGCAGGAACTGCATATGATGCCATGGCTAAAACATATGAATGATGTTGTAATATTTCAGAAATTGGCATCTAAAGTAAAAGTTAATCTTTTTATTTCTTACATATTCAACTAATTTTATTTGAAGGAAATAAACATACATGTGTTTATTTTGACAAAGATTTTCTTTGTTTACAAAAGCTGTCATAAGTATGGCAGGTAATTATTTTTTGGGGGGTGAATATTTATAATATACATGAAGGCTGTGATTTTCAAAAATTGAATTTATTTCCTGTGATAAAGAATAAAGTTTTGTTTGCAGTATGCAGGTATTTATAAAATATGTTATACTGTGCAAAGTACTGTATAGAGGATATGTTTCTTTTATTAAATTTTATGCATTGATATAAATAGCTGTAGAGAAGGAATGAACC